ATAGGCCATTACTGACCACGATACACGATTAACGTGTGTAATTCTTCCAGGATCAGCTTTTCAGCTGATCATTCGGCATTACAACAAGGTTGTTACGCCTCATAGTGTGACTTATGAGATGATAGGTTGATGATGATAGGTGAACGGACAATCACAAATACGACCGTGTCTACCCAGGACTCGAACCTACAGCCTCCTCGGCACAGGCGACGGCTGCCGCAACTGTCTGCGCCACAGGGCCGACAATAATAATAATAATAATAATAATAATAATAATAATAATAATAATAATTTTTTTAGTGATTCTATGGAGTCTTTGTTGCACAGTGTGTATCAGTATGTAAACGCCTAATTTGTGTGTAATCCTCTAATTGGGCATAATGCTTGTTAGATTCCATTTTGAATAAATAAATAAATAAACATAGGAAGTACAGCTTTAACAGAAATAAACATAACAACCTTTACCATTTCTCAAATTACTTACTATGTTTGATCTAGCTTATGTATGTATGTATGTATGTATGTAGTAGGCACTCCTGTCTGTGGAACTGATCAGTAATTTCAAACAGCCTTCCATTTTCAGAAGCTTCCTTACATTAGCGAGACCACGACATTCAAGAATGAAGTGGGAAGTGGAGATTGTTGCACCACACTTTGGACAGGATTCTGGCTCTGATGACCTCTTGAATAAATAACAAATTAAGTTGGAAATGGTCTATCCTTAGTGTTGTAATGACTACCTGTTAAGTCCTGAAAAGTGCTTTGATTTTGATTGTCGGCGCATGTAAATGTGGTGTCTAGTTTTGCAGCTGCATCAGCTTTCTTATTACCAATTATTTAATTTTGTGAAGGGATCCATATTATTTATAATTGGGTCTAATTTACTGCTTGATTTTCTAGAATAATTGTACTGGTTGTGTACCTATTCTTAATGATTAATTTTATTAATTGATGACTGGAATATAGCATAAACGGCAATTCCATCAAGTTAAGACCCATCTGCATTATACTTGGTTGTAGTTGTTATATTCTTGAAGTAGTCTAGATACTTTTTGGAATTTTTCGAGGTCGGTGTTAGTAGAGATATTGAAGTTGTGTCAGGGTGGGACAGGATGTTTGTGTCTGGGAATATAAAGTGGTTTGGCGATATTGAATTTCTAGATATATAGGGATTATTTTGTCTCCGGGTGGTAATGAGTGTGCATGGGTGGATGGATGGGGAAGAATGTGTGGGTGGTATGGTTGGGGGTGTGCATGGGTGGTTGATGTGTCTATAATATGTATAAGTATTTATTATCTTCAAACAGGAAGAATTACTGCTGTTTGACACACATTGAGTGAGCTTCTCCTTTCTCACACTAACCTCCCTCCTGACATCACCTTTCCCAGGTTATATTATGTTATGTCATGTTTCTTTTTTATTTTCCAAATAGTGTATCTCCAAAAATTATTGTTAGATATCTGATGTTTGAACTTATACTCGATTAAATTGCTGTTGTGTGGTTATGAATTTTCAAATATTGCACTTGTCCAAATTATTACAATGATAAGTAATGTGAAATTAGTATTCTGCTTCAAAATATTTTAGTTCACACTTGGAGTAAATGCATGGAAACGATGGGTTCTTACAAAGAATGCAGAGTTGGAGAAAGCAGCAGCAAGTAATAGAAAATTAAAATTGTTCAAGCCAGAAATCTTGCAGCAAACTGCTGATGAATTGAATTATTCATTATGCCTATTTGTGAAAGAAGTACGAAAACCAAACGGTCAAGAATATGCTCCTGATACCATTTATTACTTATGCCTAGGTAAGTTTTTCATTGTTAAAATTTTCTTTTTCTTACTTATCCTTATTCTTTATACTTACTTACATGTTGGAGTACTAACATAGTAGTTGCTCTGAAATATTTCTCTTAAACCTATTAATAATGTTTTCTTGTTTGAAGGTATACAACAGTATTTATTTGAAAGTGGGAGAATTGATAATATATTTACGGATCCGTATTACGAAAAATTTACTGAGTGTTTGGATGAAGTTGCTAAGAAGTTTTCTACACTATATAATGATTCTCGTAAGTAAGATTGAAATTTTTAATTTTAGGAATTACATTTTTTTTACTAGTAATAGTACATAAATTACCAGTGATCTGCCGACTACTAAGGATGTTCACAGCAGATGGTTTCCAGAGAAGCCTTTTTCTTTTTTATATGAATCCTCGAATTAAAGTTAAACTTCAAGAATTTTGTTTTCAAACTTTTTTTTTTTTTTATTGACCTAAATTTCCTAAAAAAAATTCAAGACATTATGTGTCCTCATCATCAGTCTGAAATCAAAGCACAAGTTTTACCTGAGACAAAGTTGTATTCCATCAATATTCAAGTTGTACTACATTAATATGTTAGTGAAATTCAATTGTTTAGTTTAAAAAATTACATAATTTTACATTTACTCAGATTTGGACTTAATTTTTGTGCTACACAATTTTGATAGAAAATATTAATATTATTCTGAAGTATGACAATGATCAGAATTATTTACTGAAAGATATAACTTCATGTTATTGTTGCATGTTAATGTTGCATAAGTTAGTAAAGAACATGACATATCATTATCAAAATCATTAGTAGTAAATCACAAAAACAAGGACTCTAAGTTAGAACCTTGTGGATTGCCTGTAGGTGTCAAAAAAAAGTACTGAATCAAATCCATAATGAACAGTATTATAATGTAGATTGAGATATGATAATATTATATTATAAAATAATATTATGATCAAGTAAATCAAAGGCCTTGGAAATGTCATTAAAAATAACATCAATCTGAGCATGTTCTTTGAGTAATAAGGAAATGGACTGTGTGAAAGTAAACAAGTTCGTTACTATCGGTCGTCCTTTCATGATTCCATGTTGATCTGGTTTAATTTTCTGTTTAAATTCATTGTACACTATTTGATAAATATGACCTTGCAATATCTTTGAGAAATTTGATAGTAATGAAAGGGGCCTATAGTTAGTAATTACATCCTTGTCCATTATTTAAACACAGGATAAATTTTAGTGATTTTCCAAAGTCTTTGATAAATTCAGCCTTTATAATTAACTCAAATAAAAACAGTAACGAAGCAGTTAAAGACTTTTGGCAATTTCTAAGTAACATAGCAGAAATTTGATCACAACTTGATGTCAATTTGAGTGGAGCAGTCCTCAGCTTGTTAAATATAAATCCTTCATTTATAAAAGAGTTAGATCCAACACTCTTGGGGAAGACTGTGTGTTGTGTATGTTGTTATTGTTGTATCATATTTTTCTACTGGAAAAATATTCTGCGAACCTACTAACATTTGTTGGTTAATCAGGACATTTATTTTTATACACAGATGGTTTATTGTACAATGACACAGTAGCATGTAGTTTTCATTGTATCATGGTCACCAAATCATATCAGCTTCACTCTTGGTTCAGTGTATTCACTGCTAAGATGTATGCAATTCTCAAATCCCTAAAATACATGGAATCAGATTTGTTGGGGTGATCTGATATTCTCAGCTCTCTGTAGGCTGTCTCCTGTTCTTCCTCAGACTACCTTACAATATCAGATCAAAACCTGATTCATCTACTCTCTTGCTATTACGATGTTGTACTCATTTGGGTCCCAGACCATGTGAGACCCAAAGGCACCAGGCAGCAACTTTGGCAATGGGGAATACTCATAGTGACATTCCTCCTGTACCATCATCCAATTTTTTGAAATAATCCATCTTTAGAGGATGGCAAACAGAATGGCACAATTCCACTTTTAAACAAAGTGCAATAAATGATTCTATTAATTCCTGGCGTTCCTCATCCCAACTTTCTGGGAGTGAGGAAATCATTATAACCTATCTTCATATCTGTCACTGCCACTTTTCTCATAGTTTCCTCCTGTAATATTAATCTCCTATCAGCAATTCCTGTGGAATGGTTTTTCTGGTTGAACACAGAATGGCTGGAGCCTGAATGACTTTCGCACCCATTTAGATGAATTAAAGTTGATAATGTCTGCGTAGTCCCGTTGTCATCTGCCTACAGGAAACACATCTTCCTGAGCATTCCCTCTCGTCGTGGCTTTTGCTGCTATAGGCAAGACTTTGATGATGGCCTCCAGGCACATGGTTTTACATTAGTCACAGACTCCCTGGTGTCCAAAGATATAGACGAACGAATCACTCTTCAGACATCATGCATTCATGTGTACTCCTGCACTATATCAATAACTATTTGCAATGTCTATATCCCGCCTGGCCAAATCATGTCACAAGAGGAACTTGAAGATATGTTATCTCAGTTGCCCGCCCCTTTTCTTATTGTGGGGGACTTAAATGCCCACAATCCCACCTGGGGTGGCACTAGGACCTGCTCGAGGGGCAATATACTTGAAAATATTATTGACAACCAGTACTTAATTCTTCTGAATACTGGTGAAAACACGCCTTTCTCTGTTGCTTCAAACCCTTGCTCGTTCATCGGTCTGACTCTCTGTAGTCCAACCCTCTCTACCTTCATTGAGTGGACTGTCCTTGGCGACCTGCAAGGCAGTGACCACTTCCCAATTCTGGTCAATTTCAATATTTCTGACCCAAACGTTGCTCGTCCCTCTTGCTGGCTAATCCACTGAGCTGAGTGGGAAACATTCGAGAAAGAAATATGGATATCGAAAACTTGCCCAAACGATATTCATGCTATGGTTACCCATTTTACTGATGCTGTTCTTCATTTGGCCTCAATTGCCATCCCGAAGTCATTGGGTCACCCATAACATCCTCCTGTGCCATTGTGGAATGCTGACTGTGCCACCACAGTGCGGGATCGGAAACAGGCTTTGGCAAAGTTTAGTAGGTTCCCAACCATTTTATCAATTAGAAAATATCGTGAGCCAGAGCAACTTTGACCATACTTGTAAGTAGGGCCGCATCCTGGATAGCCTATATTTCATCACTCTCTTGACCTAAGCCCCCTAAAGTAGTGTGGTGAAAAGTTTGACACATCGGTGGAAGACTTCTTCATCGTCTGTCTCAGGGCTTCTGGTAAATGAAAATCTTATCACCTCACCAGAAGATATAGTTGAAGAATTGGCCTTTCATTATGAGCATATCTCCAGCTCTGTACACTAATTTCTAGCTTTCTGAAAACCAAAAGAAGTGCAGAACTGTAGACTAGAATTCTCGAGTCATCTGGAGGAAGGCTACAATGCTCCTTTCTCCATGGATGAATTTTCCTGTGCCTTCGCTTGTGCAAAAGATTCTGCTCCAGGACCAGACCAGGTACATAATCAAATGCTTAAATACCTACCGGAAAGTGCTTGTTCTTTTCTCCTCCGCATTTTCAACTTGATTTGGGATAAATATTCCTTACCAAGGATTTTGCATGAAGCCATTGTTATTCCAATCCCTAAAGAAGGAAAGGACAGAGCAATCCCTTCAAGTAATCACCCAATCTCGCTCACCAGCTGTGTGTGCAAGCTTTTAGAACAAATAGTAAACAAACGTCTGGTCTGGCTCCAGGAGCAATGGTTTACACCTTTTCAGGAAGCACAGGTCAACCATGGACCATTTAGTCTCCCTTGCTTCTCAGATCTTCTCTTCTTTTGTGCTACGACAGCACTTTGTAGCAATTTTTTTCGACTTACAGAAAGTGTATGACACGACCTGGAGGTACAGCATTCTTCACACCTTGCATTCTTGAGGCCTTAATCAGTTCCTACGGTGCAAAAGTATCAACCATAAATACACCTTGGTGCCAGGCAGTTCTTCACCCAAGTCACAGGTCATCGTGCGAACTCAGACCATTGTTTACCCCATCCTCCGGGTTTCCGTCTCTACACGCTCTTGCAGAAATTCGAGATACATCCCTGTCAAACACCCCGAAACCTTGTTCCCCCTTCGAAGCTCCTCCGGCCAAAAATAGACCTGCAATTATCACACTTCCCCAAATCCTCGACTCACCCCAGTACATTTCTGTTGGAATTCCAGGAGCCGAAATCTATGTATCCCGCCTATATTTTCATATTCACTGATGGTTCCTCCCAGAATGGTAATGTAGGATGTGCCTCCTTCTATCACAGTGCCATGCGGAGTCTTCGACTAAACTCTTTGACTAGACTCTTCGTCCAGCGCTTACACTGAAAAAAAATATGCGCTCTTGGAGGCATTTAAGTTCACTGAATCGATGGCTTTAAAAGAAGCTCTGATCGGCAATGATTCAAAAACCTCTCCTGAATCTATCTCGTGCTTCTCTCCTTGTGACCCTCTGACAATAATCATTTAACACCTAATCCATAATTTACTGGTTCATCGTTATAAATTTTTTGGATCCCTGGTCACATTGGGATAATAGGGATCGAAATTGCTGATCTGGCAGCGAAGCTCGCCACAAAGAAAACTGAGGTAGACATCCTCCTCAGAGTCCCAATAAACGATACCAAACCGTTTATCAAACGTTGTATTATCAGCGCATGGCAAGCAGAGTGGCAAACTCAGACTTTGAACTCACGAGAATCAAGGATTCCGTAAAGCCTTGGTCCTGTATATGTCGTGGGTCAAGAGGCGAGGAAATAATTCTGATACGCCTTCGGATTGGTCACTGTCATTTCTCCCATGAACATCTCCGCGGTGACCCACTCCCTACTTGCGATAATTCTGATACGGGTCTTACCATGGAGCATGTACTCTTGCACTGTTTTAAGGTAAAAGATAACCGGTGTAGGCTTCACCTTCCTAGCTCTTTAATATAGGCTCTTGGAAATGACGAATGTTAATGCATCCAGAATCACTACTCAAGCAGTCAGTCACATGAAAATGGCAAGGGGGATTGTCAAAAGACTTTGTGTTGCAAGGCAACATGCATTGACATACCACTGACAAAGCTTTAAAAATCTGTACTTCTAAGTGTCAAATCATCCTGGATATAGTTCCAATCTTGTCACATGTAGTTTCCATCTGTAGTGTCTTAAAGTTGTTTTAAGTGGCCAAAGATTTGCTTCCTATCTGCAACTGCGCTATGATCAACCAAGTACATTGAAAAGCATTGTGTGTATGTTGTAAATAGTCTCATTGTAAATTGTGTACTATTCTAGTCGATTATAAACACTGAGTGCAGATACTTAATGACTTACACTCATACAATTTTTATTATTATTACATAAAAAATTTAAATTGTTAAATACCAAATGTGAACTAATTTATATCAGTTTTCATTTGTGTCTTTATTTTAATTGGTTGTGGTTTTTGTGTTATGATAGTGGTTATTCTCTCTTAAAGATTACCCAAATGTAGCGTGAACAAGTTTTTCATATTGTCTCTTTTTGTTATTAAGATGTTATGTCTTTGTTTCTCACATGTATTTTAACCCTTTTTGTTTCCAGAGTATATTGTTACCCGTGTTGAAGAAGAGCATTTATGGGAAAGCAAGCAGTTAGGAGCACATTCACCGCATGTTCTTCTTAGTACCTTGATGTTCTTCAATACTAAACATTTTAATCTCGTAGTGAGTACAATTTTTTGAAAAATAAATATTGAAAGTACTTTGCTTTTAATGCGTAATGTCAATAAGTTGTGATTATGTCTATTTGCCAATAGAAATGAATGAAGCGCCTAATTTACTTTAAAAAAGTTATCAATATATGTAAAATTTAATTTCAACTTGTCAATAATGGAATGCATGAACTTGAGTCATTTGGACAACTGGAGACTTGGAGACTTAATATGTCATTACCAAGGGCAGAAAATCAGGTTTTCTCTCTCTTCAGAAACTTTCTGGCACTTCCTCTTAAGCAATTCTTTCTGGCGTGTCTTTTTTGGAATTTTTCTTTAAATTCAATCCAATGTTAATGATGAAGTACATAATCAATGATTAAAGGTATATGGTATACATGTAATTGTATACCATAAGTATATGGGAAGATATTTTGATGTGCATGTACTCTCAAAAACATATTTTGCCAAAAAATACTTGTCGACTACTAAGTGATAAATAAAACATGTCCTCTCTACTGCACTGTTCAGTTAGTTTTAATATTTTATGAAGATAACAAATAGTGTTTTTTGAACACAATTCTGTATAAAACATTGCAGGTAGATCATGACCTGTAACAAGGTAACTTCAAGGAAATTAATTCAAATTGATATTTGAAAACAAGACACAAAGACCAGGTGTAATTTTAGGAATTTCAACAAAATTACTATGCACTAAAGAAACAAACCTGATTGCTAGATAAATTAACGAACCAAAGAAATAACTTATGTCTGCAGTGTACACAAGTTGAATTTCAAATGTGGATATTGCCAAATATCTTGTGTAACTCACAAGGTTACCATCTAAACTCACACTTGAAAATTTATTAGACCGTTAAGATCATTTGAAGGCAAAAGCTTGCAAATTGATATATCCCAAGAGTCTCAATTATTTGTGTCAGTATATAAAAGCTATCAGTACCAAAGAAAAAAAAATTTTGTTGAAACGAAAGAGTAAGTTGTGCTGTGATATAGTTATATGTGAATCGTTCCTACAATGGTATCAAACAATTATCAAAATATTAGCCTTAAATTGACTTCTAGGTATTGAATTTATTGACAGATTTTTTTTTTTTTTTTTATTTACAAATATGATCTTTCTTTTAGACTGTGGAAGAACACATGCAGCTCTCCTTTTCTCATATTATGAAGCATTGGAAGAGAAATCCTAATCAGTCTGGAGCTAGTAAAGGACCTGGTAGTTCTCGCAATGTTCTCTTAAGGTTTTATCCACCACAATCAGCATTGGGTTTGTAAACTTTTAAAATTGTATTTTTAATTTGGATAATTGTTTAAAATTTTATTAGTTATCTTTTGATGATAATAATAATGAACAGTTCAAATTATTTTGGCCATGTGAAGATAAGGAGCACAGTGAATTAGGAAATCGTGAACCTTACTACTTTGATGAACGAAAAAGAAACCTTCTCAAACATAAAACATGGGTCCTGAAGATACATGATCATAATAGCACATTGTAATTCAAAGGTTCACTATTGAATAGCAAAAGGTTTGCGTATTTGCCTTAATATTTGTATTGTTACAACTGTTGTAGTCATGTAATATTTATTCTTATGAGCAATGTCATAATAATTTATTTTTCCCTTTTACTTCTTTGAGGCATTGGGATATATATTTCATTACATTACAAAAATCAGACCTTTTGCAAGATGCATCTAGAAAAATCCTTTCATGAATGCAGAATATTCATTTATTTACACAACAGGCTTATTTGCCCAGAAGAAATTATTTATTACACATAGTTGACATACATACAGAAGTTAACATAAGTAAGTGAGCCTACGACTTCACTTAGAAGTTAATATAGTAGGGAATCTGAAAATTAATACCATTAACAAAAACAAAAAAATGCAATTAATGAAGTTACAAATTAGTAATAAATAATTCTAACTATCTAAAATCCAACATTATTTGTTTCAAACATCTTAAAAAACTTATCTCACTCATATATAATTGTTCATTGCTCAGATGTGCATTGTAATAACTTGTTTAACAAGTTATTGATGAACAGTAGTAATTTTGTTTTGCAAAACATTCCTTCTTATATTACATGGATTATTATAATAAACAAATAAACTTCTTAATTCTAGGCAATCAATTTTAGTATTTAAAAGATTGTACATAAATTTATTATCCTGTTATACACATGAGGTATGTGAAGATGGCAATTTAGTTTTCAAGAAATTATCTGATTAATCATGGGAATATCTATATATATACCATACTACTGAGCAGTCCATGAATTTTTATTTCACTAATGCATTATACAAATTCACTATTGTATCAAGTTGTTTAAAGTGGGATTTTGTCTTTTTATAAAACCTAATAGTTTTAAAAACTCATTAATTATATAATTAACAGGATCATAAAATCGCATTTTTGGATCTATCGCTAGTCCTAAATCTTTAATTTGATTAATTTTTTTAATCATGTCATCTCCAATCAAATACAAATTCTGGACTTTATTATTACCTTTAACACATCTTAATAATTTACATTTATTCAATTAGAATTCAGTTGAAATTCAATTAGAATTTGAAATAATAATTTCAAATTCTATTATCTGCATATAATAAAATAGAAGAGTTTTCAAAAACATTTATTATATCATTTATGAAAATTATAAACAAAATTGGTCTCATGTGATACTCCTGATGTTACATTAATTTCACGAGATTGAAAATCTCTATATCTTACCAGCTGTGTTCTTTTTTTTCAAATAATTTCTCAGTCATACCATGAAAAATCCTTCAAATTTATTTTTTTCAAACTTTCTGAATAGAATATAAGTATCAATTTATCAAATGCTTTACTACAATCTGTGTAAATTACATCTATTTGTTTACCCTCGTCCAACGTTTTCACTTCATTAGTAAATTACAGTAAATTTATTGTGGTTGGTTCACAAAACCGTGTTGTTGTTCTACAATGTTATTTTTTAATTGAGGTTTCAGGATATCCAGTAGAATGTTTTCAAACACTGACAACATTATTGAAGATGCATGGTCTATAGTTTGTGATATCATTTCTCTTACCATATTACAATATTATTTTCATAAATGTCACATCATTCAGAAATAAGGATATAACATAATAATTTCATCTATTGAGTGATTAAGTTTTATTCAGTGCATTATGGAACAGTCAAAGCAATGCTCACTTTGTACTGTGGGGAAGAAGAAATCAGGCAGCCATGTGGCCAATTTACCATACACTGTAAACCATCTTAGAGACGCTCAACTGCTCTGCTTTGCAACAACAACAATAATAATAACATAGGAGAAGCATTCATTATAACACTTCATTTTTCAAACAAAAGAATGGTGTTCCCTAAAATAAACCAGTAACATTATTAGATTCACTAAGTTATATAATTATCATAGAAATAAGGCTCATCTTCTACGGCCATCACAGATAGAGTGTTTGAATTTTACAAATATAATAGAACATTATAATGAAACTTGTATCGCTTTGCCATGTATTGTTTCTTTGAGATGTCTATGACAGTCTTGTTTCAATAATAACTATCTTTTGTTTTGATTGAATGTATATTTATTCATCTAACAATGGTTCTCCATTCTAAATTGACTGGGCTCTGGGGAAATATGTGTAATGTGTTAAGTGAGTTGAACATAATTATTTGTTATTCGATTCTCTTAGTAAACCATTGCTTTAAAAGTACATCATTCATACTATTTAGCTCATTTAAAATTTACTGTTGAATAAAAAAGAAAAACTTTGTTGAGAATATCTATTTGCTGCATTCTTTTAATTATTTTGATGTGGTAGTAATCACTCAAATAATTGTAAGGTGGCAAATGTGTCGTATCTTTGTAATGTTAAAGATCTTGTAGGTTAGAGTGTCAGAAATAATGCAATTTTTATGCAGATTAATCTTTCTTTAGCAGGTTGTCAATTCTATAATCACTGGGTAAAAGTTCTTAAGACCTTAACTTAACCAGTGAAACCAGTACCCTGTGAAGACAATTATCGTTCATCGCAGTGTTTTGAAAACGTTAGCAATTTTGTAAACTTAAACTTTTAATTTGTTAGGAACATATTTGATAAATTTACACATTTTCAATTTTGAATAATTTGTATTATTAGTAGCAAGTCATTCTCTAAAAGGCACTTTTTGATATCTTGGGAAGAAAGAATATACTCAATTTGTGAAATATTATAGTGTTGTTGTTTTTTTCAGAAGGAAATTCAAAAAAGAAAAAAGTTTATGAACAACAAGAAAATGAAGATAATCCTTTGAGATGTCCTGTGAAATTGTATGAATTTTACTTATCAAAGTGGTAAGTATTTGTCGTTCCAAAAATGCGTTCTGTTCTTGAATGGTTCTTTTGTTTTCAGTTTGTGTTACAACAGTGACAACTTCACTAATGAGTCATTCTATGTCAAATCACACACTCTCAAAACATCACTGTTATTTTGCGTCTTGAAAATTTTTTATAAGGTGTAGAATTGAAAATAGGGGGCCCTTATTTTTTTCTTTTTTCTTAATCCCACATCTTTCAGAAATATTACCAATTATTTTTTTGGAAAAATCCCGCAAAAGATAATGTTTAAATATCAAAAACTGTTTCTTTCACAAAAATACAATTACACCTAAAATAAATCCCAAAAGATGTACTTTCATGTGATGTAAATATAATTTAAAATATGTTTTAATATTTAAAATGTTAATTTTCACATTAGACCAACCCTTAAAATAATTTTTTTCGTCTTGTATTTCTACACTAATTTTGTATATAACATCCAAATTTTAAAGTGTTACACCCCCCCCCCAAAAAAAAAACTTAAAAAAATAGATTATTCACTGGAGCATAAGTTTATTTGGGGGTCACACTTTAAAATTTGGATGTTATATACAAAGAGAGAGTGTGTGTTGTGTGTGTGTTGTGTGTGTGTGTGTTGTGTGCGCGCGTGCGCGTGCGCGCATGTGTGTGGTGTGTGTGTGTATCGACCATACTTGTTAATGCCGTAAATATGATGGGCGGCGACAATGATAAAAAAACATTCATACATTTACATAAACAACACCCATACATTTACATATATATATATAATATAATAATATATATATTATATATATTATATATATATATATATATATTAAATAGGATCAGCATCTAGAATGAAAAGAAAGAAAAAAAAAAAAAAAGAAAGAAAACACGCACTTTTTTTTTTTTTACTAGGCTGTCCGGGTGACGCTGCGTCCATGGCGAAGGTGCGGACGTTTCGGTCGCCATTCTGCGACCTTCCTCAGGGCATAATGCATTACGAGGAAGGTCGCAGAATGGCGACCGAAACATCGGCACCTTCGCCATGGATGCGGCGTCATCCGGAGCGCCTAGTAAACAATGACTCCAGCCGCGGAAGCCTATGCTCTCAGAAACACACACAACAACAACAACAACAACAACAACACGAGTAGAAGTCACAAAGAAAATACATTGTTTCATTTCGTTATGAACCAGTTAATGAATGATATTCTCTGTAGGGTGAAGTAAAAGAAATATCAATTTAATTAACTGTATCCCATACAATTGAATCCATTTGATACTTTTTTAACTTGAATTAAGTATATATAAGTATATATTCAGGGCATAGTAAGATGTGAAGGGATATTTTATGCATTGCACTGTGAAAGTAAAACGATAATAGTCATCTACTTTTGATTAGCACGTGCTTGTGGGTGACGGTCTAGAAGACACTATTGTATTTCATTTTCTCAGAATCCTCTGGGTGTTCCACTTTGAAACTTACTAGAATTATGTGGAATACTGAAAGAATTTGTATGAGTGTTCTGTTTTTAATTTTTTGAATTTTAAACTGTCATGTTATGGAACAAATTTAAAAGGTCAAAAAATAAGTTTTTAAAAATTAATGAATTCAATACATGCATCAAATGAAAGAACATATTGTGTTCTTTGATGTCACAAATTTTTAATTTTCGTCACAGCTACAACTCATGTCAAAAATGATTTAAGTTAACCATGCAAACTTTTTTTGAAAATTTTGAAATTTAATATTGTCTCAAAAAATAATCTTTGGGAAAAAATGAAAAATGTGTTTTATATTTTTGGTTATAATCTTCACTGCAAAAAAAAGTTTAAAGTCCTTTACATCAAGGTCAAATTTTTCTTAAAATTGTGTGATTTGATGTGGAATGACTCCAGTGTGTTACCTTGAAAGGTTGTGTCTAAGTAAGCATGTCTAAATTATCTTTTTCAATTCACTAAATATGAAATTGAATTGTAGCGGAAAAAAGTATGAAACTCAATGTACAGTTATTCTAACATGAAAAACTATATATTTTATAAATGACATTAATTAATACAATACTGATAATTTAACTTGTATTAAATACTAAACTTAAGTACAATAATAAATTTTATGATAAAACTTCTGAAAACTGCCAAAAGTTAGTCATAAATACAAGAAGCATGTAAAAACTAAAAGATTGGTTAATTAACTACTCACTGGTTTTCAGAAAATTTTCATAAATTATCAATTTAAATTATAGCTCTAAAATATTTAATGATGAGAACCTTTCTTTGTTTTACAGTCCTGAAAGTGTAAAGACAAGAAACGATGTGTTTTACTTATTACCAGAACGCTCTTGTGTGCCCGACAGCCCTGTTTGGTATTCTACTATGGCTCTTGGGAAAGAACCTCTCATGAAAATGCTTCATAGAGTGAAAATGGTTAAAGAAATAAACCAAGCTATTCTCAAAAGTTGAAACTAGTTTGTGAAGTGATACAGAACGTGTTTATTCAAGTCAACGTTTTGAACTTGTGGTTTTAGATGCATATGTAATTTGTGAACTAATGTACAAGTGATTAGATGGTCTAGTTATTTCACATGACCATTCCTGTTGAGTAAAAGCTGAAATATTATAAATTGTACTGCCAGGGCCTTTCAATTCACATTTGTAAATAATTCCCTTGTATATATCAACTGATGTTCCTTTGGTGCACATGGCAAAGCAGGTTTTAAAAATGTGTTGATACAACATAGCAACTGTAAAAATACTGGAGCAGTGTTGTTTTTAAAGGTTGAAATGAAAATGTTTGGAAAATTCAATATTCTACTCAGTCATTTGACATCTACAGGGTGTATATGTGGGGTCCATACACAGATGTAAGTGTGACAAGAATCAGGAGTTTTTTCTACATTCTTAGGCATTTAGATTAGTTTAAGGTCCTTTATATTGAAAACAGCTGGGCACTCTAAAGTTGTGCTACTATTTTGTCTCATTTTAATTCATACATAGGCCTAAGTTTAGTGTAATCTTTCATTCATTAACTATTTATTTGATTTCATGCCAAATAACTGTATTTTTTAACCAAAATTAGAGCAAATTATTTTCATTTAATTCAAATGTGAGTGTCCTGATGTCACCGATAAACCCTGTCTATGTTTTAATTGAGTGAATTTTTGTTTGCAAGTTTTTCATTTAGCACTCTCCAGTACCAATAATAGAGTATTGGTTGTTCAAGGTTGACCAACCATGTTGTTTCAATATATGTTTTTGTTACATGTGTTATTGAATTTCATACTCAACCATAGTGGAACAATGTTTTTAAAGGTAGACATTTTATAAAGACTTAGGAAAAATTTGTTATTTTAAGAGTTGAAGAATATGTTTTCCTTTAAGATGTATGATTTTACAGTATTTTCCATTACCTTATTTCATCAAACCCAAGGCGTATATGTTTGTAAACTAAAACAGAAATGATAACACTTGTGCAGTTCATACAATAAATATAAAAGTTGCACCTCTTGTTTTTCATTCCTTTGAATAATTTGTATTCTGCCCACTTCGTTTTATTTGCATTCAATGGATGTATGTAGTATTAAGAGAACAAAATTATTGTACAAAGTGAGGAATAATCAAATTAATACATTCTTTTTATATTTTTACTGTGATGTTTGTGCATGTGTTAATGTGTTATATTCTTGTGAACATTACATTAGTGTATTTATTCACAGTGAAATATTTTATATTTAACTGTGTTATACAACATGAATGTGTATTTGTGACATTTAGGGCATTTTGTACAACAGGATGGTCTATTGTATATACTTTATAAATGTGTAACTTGAAATTGCTTGTTACTTTCTTTAAAACACCTTATTTTAATTTTGGGGTTCATAAATGGGACTTGGAATCAATTACCATCAAAAATTGTGATGGAAATTAACATTTTATGTAAATATTTAGCAATAATGACCTGACATTAATCTGTCAAATCTTGTATATTACTGCTCTTAGATGAATTGAAATTCTACCTTGATATTAACTTTTGCCGCAGTAACTAGCCTTTAAATAAAAATTTCGGTTCGCAAATCAGAAACAGTGTTAAGTAATAATGCTGCTTTAGTCACATAAGCAGAATTTTGCTCTTGAAAGTAGTAGTGAATAACCAAATTGTAATTTGAACATGATCCAAATGAAACTAATGTGTGTCCAACTGGGGTGCACTATTATGCATTTTCCTGTTCTGCACATCTATATCTACTTAAATTTTTGACCCATTTTATTACTTTTATTATATTCAAATGTACATTTTATAAATCTTTCAAGCTATTTTCAGATCATGCATTCAAAGTACCCTATTGGTAGCGATCGATGTTTCTGCTCCCGAAGTTACTATTGGTCTATTAGGTTTTATATTACTTGATTATTGTTGATCAAGCGTCCACTTCTCAGCCCTGCATGAAAGTCGATGTTAGCTATCCGTTCCAAACCCGTTTCAAAATAACCGATCTTCCAAGACCCGACTACCTACTACGATTCCTGAGACTTGCGGCGAGGCTCTGGACGATCACAGCATGTCGAGCAGTGCTAAGAAAGAATCTGCCTCGGAAGATTTCAGCTGGATAGATACTTTCCCATTGAGAGCGGCGGAAAAGGAAAAGAAAAAGACCTTCACAATCTCGTAAACTCTTTTAACTATGGCTCTCCTATCCTGGAATGTAAATGGATTTTTCTCCCTACCGGATGAACTAAAACACTTGTCCCGTTCTATGCCTTTGATAATGTTTACAGGAGACTCGTCTAGTTCCACCACACCCTTATCCTTTCGCTTTTTAACCCCTTACAGGATGGATGTCGACGGCCTTCATGCTCATGCTGGAGTTGCTTCTTTGGTTCACGACTCGCTGCTTTCTGCGGTGTACCTACTCATACCAACATTCAAAGTGTGTGCAGGTGTACTTTCCATTTACGCTCACTGTAACATTCGCTATGAAAAACGGTGTTGATCGATGACATCTTAGGCCTAATAAACCAATTGCCCACACCCTTGATTGTAGGTTATGTAAACCTTCTTTGGGGTTCGTCCCCTGCACCACCCCTACGTTGACACCACTAACCTGGTGATTCACAATACTGGTGTCACACGCTTTTCGCCATAGCTACAAATCCTAGCACTGTTATTGACCTGACCCTTTGCAGCCCTTCACTCGCCAAAGCTACGCAATGTACTATATTAGAAGACCTGTATGAAAACTATCATTTCGATTGTCCACCGTGCTGAGTGGTTGACACTCCAAATTAATGTTGACATCTCAGTTGGTGTCTTCCACGATATGGACGGAATGGCTGCACATATACATATAATATATACAACAGCACTATACTCCTTGCTGCTTCCATTGCAATTCCCAAATGTATCGCGACATCTCTTTGTCGTGATTTGGTGGAAATTGAACTATCATTATTATGAATTAGAGCGGTCAGCTCCCGTAAAACGGCACTGGCACGACTCAAGCATTATCAGCCGTGGATAACAGAATATTAAGGGCTAGGAAAACCATATAGAAATCAAAAATGCATCGTGCATACATCTCAATTGCCACACCCAACACGTCTGGTGTAGAGAGATTCGCTAAGTAAAATTACACTCGTCACCAAATAAGTTGCCAGATCTCGTTAAGAATGAAGAGATAATTACTTATTGTGATTGTTGAGGCACTCACGTCTTACTATGAAAAAAAGTCAGTTCGGCGAACTACTCCCCAGACTATTTTGGGTAAATGGAGGATGGAAAATAATCCCCCCATTTTTCCAGCAGAACGTCCTACGATTACAACACTCTTTTCCCCCAAGTTGGAAATTTCCTCTGCTCAGGCGTTAGCGAAAAGAATCGCCACAAGTTCTAACGAAATTCACGAAGAAAGGCTGCAGAATCTTCCTGAAATTGCAATAAAATTTATTTTCCATCTCTATAATCGCATCTGGGAATAGCACACTATCCCTGCTCAATGGCGAGAAGCCATCGTCCCGTGTTGCCATATCGGCGGAATTCCCGCCGTTTTCAGCGGATTTTGAACTCGTACGGCGGGAAAAAAAATTTGTTTCGCGGACAGTGGAATAAACGGCGGAAATTAATAAAGACGGTGGAAAATAAGCGGAATTTTAAATCTTCACTATTAAGGCCTGGATATATATTTAAAGTGTTCGAGCAGAAACATTTTAAAATAATAATAAAAGACAGATAATTCAGTCTACATAAGTGCATTCTTTGTTATTATTTACTAGGCTGTCCGGGCAACACATATAGTATTATACATATAGTATTTAGGTGGTGTTGGTCCGGGTGACGCCGCGTCCATGACGAAGGTGCCGACGTTTCGGTCGTCATTTTACGACCTTCCTCAGGGCGTAATGCGCATTACGCCCTGAGGAAGGTCGCAGAATGGCGACCGAAACGTCGGCACCTTCGCCACGGACGCGGCGTCACTTGGACAGCCTAGGACTAGCCTAAATACTGACTCCGGCCGTGGAAGCCTACGCTATCTATTATTATTATTATTATTTTAAAATATTGGTGATCGAATACGCCAATAACGACGGCTATGACCAAGAATAAGCAATTGTCCTTATCTATTTCATGCATTCATAAGCATATGTCCTTTTCTATCATTTGTTTTAATAAAATAAATTAATGCAACATTTAAATATGGAAAAAGAATTTATTTTACGTTTAGCGCATTTAGGCGGGAAATTTAAAACCAGTTCAGCGGATTTACGGCGGAAACTGGAACGAACCATCCCGGCGGAATCCCTCTGAACACATCCGGTAACACTGGTCCCGGCTCTATAAGAAGGAAAGGATCGATCGTTACCATCGAGCTACCGACCTCTCTTACCTGCTGCGTTTGCAAAGTGCTGGAACTCATTGTTATTCAGCATTTGGACTGGACTTTGGAGTGTAGAAATCTGCACACCCAATCCTACGCGTGTTCAGAAAATACTAGTCAACTCTACACCATCTCGTTGCTTTGGAACAAATTTCTACATCTTTCGTCTTGAGACAATATCAACCGTATTATTTGATGTAGAAAATACCTACACCACGTGGAGGTACGGCATTCTGCGAACCTTGTAGTCTTGGGGATTGGGGTTCTCCCTATTCCTCCAAAATTTCCTATCGAATTGATATGTTTGCGTTGGTGACAAACTGTTTAGCAGTCACCCTCTTGAAAATGCGATCCTGCAAGGGATGGTGCTGAGTGTCACTTTTGACGTTGCCATAAACATAGCATCGGTCGTGTGAGAACCTTTGAAGACGTGCTGTTGTGGTTGATTTTGCCTTTTTATATGCCTACATTTTGAATCAATAAACGAAATATGAAATGAACATAACTTCTCCAAACATAAATATTGCATTCAAAACCGTCAATAATTGACTGAACTTGTGTAATTCCAATGACATGCAAAATTCATAAAATTAAGTTACAGCTAGAGTCAGACGAAGAAAGAATATTGGTATTCCCTTCGGACGCCGCGCAGCGCCCGGCGAAAAGTTTTTATCTCTTAAAAAATAACTGGCACTTAATGCAACTATAGAAAAATATTCAAACATGTATGATATTTTATGAATTTTGTATAATCCTTTTTTTTAACCCGTCTCCCACACCAGGGAAAACTGTATACAACATTCGACTGATGCAACCTCTTCAACATTTGGATATGCAAAATTATGCGCGTTATTCTTAAAAACTTTATGACAAAACATTCATCAATGTTTATTATTTTTGTAATGTGATGAATTATTGTATATTTTGTTTCAAATTTTATCAGAACAAAATGGTTGACAGTGAAATTTTCTCATATCACTGGAAACGCTTTCCTCGCTCGTTGAAAGCTCATTTGAATCCAATGGCACAGGATCATCATTACTGCTAGCAAATGAGAAATTCTTTCGAACTGGTTTCTTTCTTTTTTTTCTCTTTCCTGTAATTCCAAAAGAATTTTGCCTTTGGAGTTAATATAAAAATTAATATTTTGCCAGGTTTACGACCACAATTTGCTTTCGTGTGAGCTAGAAAAAGATAGAACACGACCACTTAAAACATTTTAAGTAGCATGAGCACGAAAGAACTTAATATTAAGGAAGAGTTGGGACATGTCCAAACTCTCCCATGACAGTAATTATAAATAAATTGTCAAATTTTACTATATTTCAACAAATTAAGTTGTTCATTTTTTCCGAACCTGGACCTCAATTTTTAAAAGAGTAATCTCCTGGGGATTCGATGATTTGTTTCGGATCCATTCTTAAAATACTAAGAAATTTCTCCAAAAACGTGATTATCTATTTTTAGCGCTGCGATCTAACGGTGGCCGAGCGAACCACGAGTCCCAGCGCCACGGCACCCAGGCGGTAAAATCAGAGAGTATTTTAAAAATACTCTCTAGCTCGAAATTGTTGAAATTGTTCCGCTCGGGCGCAGGCAGTACAGGTACAGGGCTTGGATCACTAGGAAGGGAAAAGGCTTATCGTCACTGTTGCCACCCCATAGGATAATTTTGTTGTTCTCTAATGGAGTACTCCCATTTTGCATGATAATCTGAACCACAAAATTATGTTCTAATATAAATACGAGCTTGCAAATGTACCAACTTTATTTAATAAACCGCCTGTTAATACATTGAATTTATGTTCTTTACAGAACTTTTGTGTACGCGCTCGATTAACATTTTCCAATAACGAATTGAGTAGTGGCTGAAAGTACTTCTGACGAGTTTACATGCACACCTTTTTTATACTACTTTTTAATTTAATTTTAATGGATTGTATTGAATGTTCTATGTCCGAGGATGAAAGAACCATACAATCGTATTCTTAAAGTTTCTTTCTATTTAGAACTACCGTAATAAAACTTTCAAGAAAATATTTTGAAAAGTTAAAAGTGTCTGTGATATTACATTATTATTACACGTTATTTTGCTATTTATTCTGAGGTTGGGGTCACCATTAACTTTCAGTGAAGTCTGCTGCTTAAGAACAGTCTTGATGAAATCTTTCACACAAATGAGTCTCACAAGAATGGCATGCTTTGTAGCGCGCAAGATTAAATAAGAGTACAGCTGATTTCACATGACACATACTCTCTCTCACCAAAGTGAAAAAGTTTTTGCTTAGAACTGGAGGCTATTATACACCCCACATTCACCTTTTAGAACCATCATTTAGATTACACCCAGTTTATTATTTTCCATGGGTTTTATTACATCGTTTAATTTCCTCAAAATGAAAAGGCAATTTAAAAGCATTGTTTGCCACTGATTTCCCTTAATCTGTTAATACAAGATAACCATGTATATTCTGAATAATTTTTAGGACCGAACCTCATCTTACGACAACATCCTCTTTTTAAGACTATTCGGTAGTTGATCAAATGGTAATGAAGTAATAAATTTAATTCTAATTTCTCATTCCTAGGATGGTCTCTCCTACTACATTTCCATGTCACATGGCAGAATTGGCAGGTATGCGTGTAAAAGGGGATAAGTCAAGTTTTTGTCCAAAATAAGTATGCAAGAACATTGCTTTACTATGGTACTATCATTGTGTATATGCGGGGAAGGTGACATTTCAATTTTGTCAAGTAGAAAAGCAATGTTTAGCATACTCATTTTGAACCAAAAACTTGACTTATCCCCTTTTGCCTGCATGCACACCAATTAATCACCTAATCCAATATTGCTTATTCCTACTGTCAGTGGCCAATGATTTGAGAATTGAAAATATTTGTTAATTTGGGGTGGAAAAATTGGAGATTTGGTATAAATGTCAGTTGGCTGAGAAGGTTTTCTGTGATTTGCAGCGTAAATCAAGAATACATCAAAACAGTCAAGACATATTTTTAAAGAAGACATTACAAAAACGGTAATTTATTAACATTTACATTCTCACATTTAACCACTCTTTTTAGGTTTAATGAAAGTTTTTCTTTTCTTTAGCTTTTTCCTTGCTATTTCCATATTATGTAGTTCAGAATAAACTTCTGAAAATATTTCTGCCTGTTCTTCCTCTGGAATTGTTGCTCTGCAAAATCAAATTTATATAAGCAAATTATCAGTGATCTAATGAAAAAGGGCAGTAGCGAAAGAAAGGATTTTAAATCAAAAATTTGTTCATAATGTCATAATAAAACCACACACCGATATTGCTTCATAAGATCATATTTTTCCCATGGTGTAGCTAATTCTTCTGCCCTCTTATAAAATCTTTCAGGTAGGCCTAAGTCTTGGACACCTTTTAAATTCTTGCGTTCCCATCTTTCCAGCCATGGACGAGGCTTCAGTTTCACCTATTAAATTGGAATTTTCCCTCTCTATTTGCAAATAAAGGATTCAAATAATATCACATAATCCATTTATTGAGTTTACCTTGATATCATTTACAGGCACTGCTGCACCGTCTATTTTAATTTCAGGATCCATATCTTGTGGGAAAGTACTATATTCTGGAAGTGCATCTCTAAGGTAAAATAGCTCATCATCTAGTCTTTTCTCAAGTCGTAACACTTCAATTTTCTGAATTGTTGGATTGTACATTTCATAAGCAACTTCAACACCTTAAATTCAAACCAAATTGACAGTTTCTGACAGAATAACTAAAATAGGCATGTATACTCTATAATAAAAAATCCAAAGGCTTGAATTAAAAAGTGAAAAATAAAATACAAGAGACACACCTTGATGATCAATAACATTCCTCAAAATAAAAGAAGCACGTAAGCCACAACCACTTCGACTAATACAAATACCCAAAAACCTATGTGGTTTTCCTCCTGAATGAGGATCAGATGTAGTTACAGCTAGTATAGATCCTGAAATTTTAAAAAATGAAAGATTATCAGCAACATCTTATTTAATTGAAAAAAATAATTCTAAAGAAATTCATAGCTAAAGAAAGAGCTTGGTGATTAGTAACATGAAGCGCTTAATGATTGGCGGGTGAAGGAAGGAGGGGGAAAAGACATGTACGAAGGAGTGTATGCATAAACTTGTCATACAATTACAAAAACCACTTGCATGGAAATTATTAAACCAAAGTCTTCAATAAAGTAGCTTGCATACCATACAACTGGTACATCTGCAAACACTATATTTCACTCACAATTTTATGTCCAATAGTTTTTAAGGTTTTAATACTTTGCTATACATTTCTAAGATGAGAACAAGACTCAGGCCTTCAGTCCTTGCTATTAACATAACATATCCTTAGGTTTGAGCAATACATAATTACCTCTGTATTTTTGTTTACTTTTAGTACAAGAACTCATTTCATAAATCCACTGAATGATGTGACTTTTCTAATATAAAATGGGTATCACATACATTTTTGGGAAGGAACCTAATTCATTAATAGATGATATAAGCTTGTATCTGTGTCCACATAACGTGAAGGCAGTAAAAAGACAAGCCACAGAAAGCTTCCATTAATTGTACTTATCAATATCTCAATTTTAATGAATGTATGGGTTATCTTCGTACTACATATGACTTGGGACACTTATGAAGGGCTTGGCGCAGTAACAAGATGAGACACTTATTAATTAAAATCAAGATATTAATATTTGCAAATGGAATACTGTGGCTCATCTTGCTACTGCCTCACACCCTTCATATTAATATTCTCATCCCAATTTAATGTACACAATTATCCTTCACTATGCAATATTTATAATGAATTGTTTAGGATATCAAGCTATAATTCTTTATAGAAGTGCCTTATGACAAGTCATTTATTGCAAATGTAAGGCAATGGCACCAAAAGCAGACAGGTAAAGGAAAAAATTATTTTCAATTGTTTGGTGTAGTCAAAGAATTTACTAACACATCTGTCTCTTTCCCTTTTATTTTCTTCAGATGTAGTTGGATTTTTGATGAATTTAAATAAACTCATCTAAAATAAATAATTTCATTTTTCACGACATATTTACGAAAAGAGAAACTAATACTGTCAGGTTGATTGTTAGCGATTCCTAATTCAGACATGTAAGGAACGTAAAGATGTCATGAACAAAACACACAAATTAAATTTGGTAAATGATCATTTTTCTTTTATTGTAAATATAATGTTAAGAGGAAGTCATTTAGACATGAGATAGGTTCAGAAATACAAAGTTTGGTTATGGCAACTTAATTACTTTTCTTTTTCGTTAGTGCTTTAGTTTAAGATTTTTGGTTGCAAAGTTTTGTCTTTTCATGTCTGTTTCCATTTTCTTCTCTTATGCCAGCTGTCTCAAAGTATCTTTAAGTACATGGAAGATAGATACAGACATAGGCCGCATTATATGGGTAGAATCGGGATATAATCACAACCTCAATCCCCTTATCTGAGCAAACACTGGGACAGTTGAAAAGAGTTATGTGAAGTATGCCCATCTAAAAATGCAACTACAGGCATCCCAATTTTGTTTTGAAGTATCTAAGAATACAATACATTTGCTGTATGCATAATTTATGATTCATCCATCCGCTTTCAGAGCGCCCAATAGCCCAATCAGAAAGCCATTGGCTGTTCCAGCTGGTATGCGACTGTATTGATACACTACCATCTTTGGTGGTAACTCTCCAACAGCATTTCTAATAATCAAGGAGATAAGAATTTCTCCCCTTATGTCCTGCTCACTGCCATTTTTCTGCTAGTACTTTCCCTCCTTTAGGATTTAAAAAGAAAGCTGTTTCATCAGTGATGAGGAGTTTGGAGGGTTGACAAAGACCCTTTTTTTCAAAATAATTTCTTACTTCGTGGAACCACTTTTCTATTTTTTCTTCTGGTACTTGCAGTTGTGAAATAGCAATATCTAATGTGTCTGCAATAGCAATATCCAGTTGACAAGTATTTCTTCAACCTCAGTAGAAAATACAATAGGTTTTCTGATGCTTTTGTCCATTGGATTTGTCTCTTAATGTTTGATCAGTGATGCCCTCACGACAACTTTGTCCTACAAAACAGCTGCATTGTAACTTCAACCTCTATTCACAGCATCTGTCATTTTCACCAGTGAGTTCTTTGTGTATTGTATAAGTGTTTGGGGTGCCATATTTCCTGAATTTGCACAAAGGTCACATTTGTTAAAATGTTCCCAAAAGGTAACACACAGAGAACATGAGGTTGACACACCTTGTCAACATTCGGTTCTAGATATATTAGACATTTAAACGTAAGACTTATTGATATAAATAATAATAATAATAATAATAATAATAATAATAATAATAATAATAATAATAATATTTGTCACATAAATACTGCATAAGCCATGTATGACAAGTCGCAAGATGTACACAATCATACAATGTACAATTCAGGTATTTCTAAAAATTAAATTGAATTAAGTTAAATGACTTCATTGTGAACACTATATAAAGAGTACAAAATTGTAGGCTTCCTATTATTCATGATATAGAATGAAGTACATAAAGGTTATAAACACAGAAGATGCCCCAGTTGTTTACTTGTTAACATCCTGAGATCCATATATCATTAAGAAAACTAATTTTATATTAAAGACTAAAGAATCAAAACAAATTTCTTAAGAAATCCTTAAGGACTTCCATGGATTACCCTATTAGGTACACATGTCAATTCAGTTGACCATCAAAACACAAGATAAATCACTTCATTGTAATTAATCAGGTTTTCTATCTCAAGCTAAGGTCTTCTCTATTACTGTCACTTCTCAGTGAACCACCAACTACTAGAATATTAATTCGATAAACAACTATCCTCTCATGTCATCTTTAAGTGCCATTTCCTTACCAGAGTAGTCAAAAAGGATAAAACATTTTGCCTAAAATAATGTAAATAACTTTGAAGACAGTTTTATTAATATAATATTTACTAACCTACATAGAACTCAGGAATATCAATTTGTGACCTTCGTTTTAACATATCCATTCTTTCAAGTTTCTCTCTTATTGTATTTCTTCTGGCAAAAGCAGGATCTGGCAAAAATTCAGGGTATGTAAATCGATAATCAACAGGAGTCACAGATTTTCTTTCCAATTCTTCATTGAATTGTTCCTGTGCATCACTAGGCAACGTTGATGCTGTGGACTTAACAGGACTGCTAACTATACAAGAAACAGAAATCATTCTAAAATTCAAAAAAGTATGATCAATAATTTTATTAATTAATAGAAATGCTTCAAACTCACATAGTCGGGAGGTTAAGCATACGTTCAATCTATATTCACGCGAAATTGTTCGTAAGCACGCGCCGAATGCCATTTTATTAACTTATTTATTAAAAAATAGATTATTTTAATTAATAACTCGAAACATTATATTTGAAGCTTTACTTGGACAACTTTACTTGTTCTCCTCCGTTATTATTTACAAATTCGCCTTTAATAAAGCTAATACTTTTTGGAGCAGAAATATGTTCAGCTTGTTTCCATCAATACTTAAAAGCACAATGCCCAGCGACAAAAATCAAATTTTTCTACTAGGCTACTAACACAAGCACAAGATCACGTTCAGTTATGTACGTTATGGACATGGTTTGGAACGAATCGAATACCCCATCAATCCCATGCCGGCATGCCGATGAAAACTTATACCAACTTGTACAGGAATATACAAAAAAAAACGTCGGCAGCTATACGTCAATTTAAACACAGTGGCACATGAGCCGGACGGAGAGAAATCATCCAATCGACAACTTCGTAACTACTAAAATTTTTTCTATTGGGCAGTGATTTCGACAGAACTCACTGGTGTACCCCGACTGTACTGCAATTTTTCCTATTCTGCCCATGGCATGTATCACCTGTTTACAGTTTCATCCAATCGGGAGCTTGAACGACACCATAGTTTTATAATAATAATGACAAAGGGCCCTATATTGCGCATTAATTAGTTGAATGTAAGTTACGTAGTACTTATTTGGCCTCGTTTCACACGCTTATTATCACTAAATTTTGCCAGAGTTTATTCTAATTTTTGGCAGGATGTTATATGCTACCTTGGACATGTTTTTTTTTTACAAAAGTTGATCACGCATTCACTGTCGGCTTCGTGGAAGTATTCCCTCTTGAACAGTTGGTAGTGGTAGCCATGGGCCGTCAGTCAAGTGTAGACATTTCTTGATTGGATTCAATTCAGCTTCTGAATATCATGGGATTCGAGGAATATAATACTTCGCCTAATAAGTTTCTCTTTTGTATCCTCTCCGACATCGCAGCTCTACAGAGGTCTCGGTATCGGTAGAGAGGAATGTAACCTTATGTCTTCCATTAGGAATGTTCCTTTGGTCAGGGCATATATTAACCTAGAATAAGTGTATTTTAAGACATATACTGTTTTTTCTCATAGATTTAGATCTATTCAGTTTAAAAAAAGAGTAAAAACTGTATGTGACGTAGGTAGGAAAATATTTTCTGCCACAATTTCTTGAGTTCCAGAATCCCTTCCCATCATTTTAACTATAAATAGTTGAAAAATGAGTAAAAGTTTAACATAAATAAATTTAAAAAATCGCAAGATTAGCAATATTTGAAAAATAGTCATTTTCGTTCCTGAGTTATAGCAAACGTATTTGCATCAGTACACGAATTGCAAGTATGATTTTTCGGCATTGCTAACAATATAGCAACTCGCCCTTCCCTCTATTCTTAACATTACAAGCAAATGGAGAGTTCAACAAAACGTGCGCATAGTGAAGCTACATTTACGTCCAGAAGCAAAACAAGGGGCCATCTCAGCATTTGCTCAATAGATTAGATAAACTGGACATAACCCTGATTGAGATGGGGTCATTGACCCGGAAGCTGAAGTACATTATTTGTTACTAACATATTAAGTCTTTAAAATATACAATACAAATGTAAAGTAATTCATTATATATCACTATTTTGTTAAATTAAACATGATTTTTCTTTTTGATAATCAGTATAGTCTCTAATTGTATAGAAACAGTATGTAGCACAAAATATTTTACTTTTAACTTAAATTTGTGAACCGACTTCAATTGTTTAATGTCATCTGACAGTGAGTTCTAAAGTAACGAACTTGTATTGTATGTGGATTTCTGATAGTATCTGTTGATACTGACACTTCATAAACATGATTTTTACGTGTGTTGTAATTATAAATATCAGTAATGCATGAAAATATGTTCCCACCGTTAAGTAAATCAGTTTTGACAATTATTACAGATTCGTAAATACATAGAAAAGGCGGTGGTAAGATTCCAAGCTTAATGAAGAGAGGCTTGCAAGGTTAACGCGGATGGCATTTTTTCAGTATGCGAATAATTTTATTTTATGATCTAAAGGTCTGAGTACTTCATGATGAGTTTCCCCAGAATTTTATACCATATCTCTGGCGGGAATATACATTTGCAAAATACACGCAACGAGCTGCATGAAGGATGACAGAATTTGATAGAACTCTGAATGCGTAACATAATTAACTTAATTTAGTGTTTAATTTTGTTATATGTACATTCCATTTGAGGTTTGACTGAATTGACAGACCTAGAAATTTTGTTTCCTGAACATCTATTTGCATATTATTCAATTTCAATGGAGCATGCAATTGCAGATTTGAAAGGCAAAAAATGCATTGAAACTGTTTTCCTTCATTAACTATTAATTTGTTACTACGAAACCAATTTGAAACTTCTAAAATCGTACTATTTATTGTTTCTTTTATGCAAAGAACATTCATGGCATCGGGAAACAGAACCGTTCTTCCGTTTTTAATAGACGACGGCATATCGTTTACGTATAAAGAAAGAGGATAGGACCTAAGGTCGAGCCTTGCGAAACCCCAAATTCAATTGGTAAAGAATTGAAAAGATAAGTAAATAATGTCATTTCGTGCAATTACGGTATTTCTACTCTTTAAGATCGATGTTTAAGGTACGAAATATCCAGTCTAAGGCGATACCATGAATTCGATAAGAAGGTATTTTGATAGCAAGATGTTATGGTCAATAACGTCAAAAGCTTTCGAAAGATCTAAAAATATTCCAATGGGTGCTTCATTTTGGTTCATTGATGAAGCAACATCTTTAAGAAAAGAAAAAAATGGCAGTAGATTTTGATTTTATAAATCCGTGTTGTGAGACTATAGACATAAGTGGTCTTGATTGCTTGGAGGATCTGCAGATCCTTTTTTCTTATTTTTTTCGGATGTGGCAGAATTTCTTCAATTCCGTAGGTCATTATCAGGAGATTTCGCGCGGAATAGTCGCAATGCGGTTTTAATGGATTGGTTCTCAATGTTTTTAATTTGGTTTATTGCGATCACTGCTGCAGCTGTCCTCTCTTTAACGTGGCAACTAAAGGTCAATCCGGTTGTCTGAAGTGTTATGCCTAGATATTTGTACATGCCGACAGTTTTTAGTACCTCACTTCCTATTTCTATAGTTTAATTTCCTGCTATTTTGCCTCCTTATCGAAACACCATCAAAACAGTTTTCTCTCTGTTTACTCTCAGGTCGTTCTCCATTGTATACTTACATAGTGAGTTCATGACTTCTTACAGGTTAACGATATTGTTTGATGTTAATATTATTTCATATGCGTACAGGGAGACTCCATCTATATCCTCAATAATGCTGCAAACATCTGTTATGGTACACGCAGATAGGGCCGCGGCAGCGGCCCAGCAGCGCACCGTGGCTGACGGCGCACTGGCCAGCCCATATATACTCTTTGGGCCAGCCAGCAATGAGAGTTGCTAGGAGACGCCGCTAGGTGGCGGGGCGGCAGCGACGACGAGGTGGCCCACTGAGCCGGAACGGCGCGAGTAATAAGGCTCACTTCACAGGCTCGGGAAGTATAAAGCTGCCGGCCCGAGAGGCCGGAGCAGAATCCCGATTCACAGGTGGAGTTTTCCTCGATGTTGCCAGCGCCTTTGGTAAGGTCTGGCACGTGGACCTCTTCTACAAACTCCACTCCATGAACTTTCCTACATACCTCACACACCTTATCTACTCGTACCTAGCAAAAATAACGTTTCAAGTGACGCTTCTGAATGCCAAATCCACCCGCCGCGCTGTACGGGCCGGAGTGTCGCAAGGGAGCGTGATTGCTCCTACGCTCTTCAGCCTTTTTGTGTGTGATATTCCCACCCACCCTCAAACAGAACTCGCCTTGTATGCAGACGATATGGCTGTAATAGCCACGTCAAAAATATCAAACTTCTCCAGAAGTACTTGGATCAACATTTGTTACAGATCCAGGAGTGGCTGAAACTGTGGCGGGTCAAAGTCAGTGAGTAAGAGTGCAGCTGTACTCTTCACACGGAGACAGATATTCACGCGGCCAAGGCCACTCGCGCTATGCGGAGACGCGATTATTTGGACTAAAAATGTCAAATATTTCGGAGTTATTTAGACAGCTCATTGACATTCAATCTGCACATCGAAAATGTGCGACAGAAAGCGCGGCAGACCCGAGGCAGATTGCGAAGCTTGTTTCACAAGCTGAGCACACTGTCAACGGCAAACTGTCTCACGCTTTATAAAGCAGTAATTAGGCCGCAAATAGACTACGCATGCCCAAGTTTGGCAATTGCAGCAAATTATCTTTTGAACAAACTGCAAGTAGTTCAAAACGAGTGTCTCAGGGCCGCGCTCTGCGCCCCTAGATACACTCGTATAGAAACTCTACATCGCGAATCATCAATGCCACTGCTAAAAAATCATATCAAAATTATAGTTAAAAAATTCTTTGAAAAAGCAGCTGACTCGGATAATCATCTCATTTCCGCGATCGCCTCATACCAACCCGATCAAAGGGCGAAGTATAGGCGACCGAAGCACTTTCTGGAGTAAGAGCAATCTGAAACAAAGAAGTGAGACTGATGCATAAACGTAGTATTACAAAACACGCAATGCGCGCGCCCGTAGGCTAAAGTCATTTTTTGACTTTTTGTTTTACTTCATTTTACAGGATTGGCCACAGATGCTCGTAAGGGTAGGAATGGTCCCACCACGGTGGCGTGAACGCGCATTGCACTTTTCGTGCGTTCACAAAACTACATAAATGTACTGCTTGGCGGAGCAGAATCAGTCCCGAGCTAGTGCAGTGTGTGAGCGAGTCCGCGCCAAGTATTGTTAGGCGGTTCAAGGTGTTGTAAGGCTATTCTTCTGATTTGCGCTTGAAAAAAGGGACATCTTCTGGTAAACGGCAACCTGGCTTTGATTATTGTTTATGCTATTGGATTTGGAATAAAGCGACATTATTATTACGAGCTGTTGTTTCTTTTGGCCTGAATATACAACAACTATGAAAGAAATATTGAAGAGTAGAGGATCAGGCAGTCTCCTTGCAGTACGCCGTTAGCTGTGTGATTTTGCAACATTGTCGTTTATAGTAATGCAATAAGGTGGAGGATGTCTTTTATGACTGAGAGAAGGTTTTCTCCTTCCGCGGTATATCTTTCTAATTTATTAACAAGTTTTTCTCTGTTAAGGAGATCAAAAGCGAGGTTCACAAAGAATGTATACATTCTTCCTTTATGTTTATTTAGCGATCTTTTAATTTTATTCAATACGTTTTCGATGGCCTGTAAGCGACCTGGTCTGAATCCAAATTGGGTATTCGGCAGTCTTGTTTCTGTGACGAACGATAGTCTTCTGCTAATTATCTTTATGAATAGCTTAAACAAAGTGTTTTCAAACGCGATGCCCTTGTAGAAGTCTGGTACGTCTATGCTCCCTTTTTCTTTATGACTTTCATTCGCCTCCAGTTATCTCATATTCTTCCCAGTTGGAAGCATTTGTTAAATAGATCTGTCCAACATTCTTCTGGGTATTTTTTAAAAATCTTGTATATGTTCTTTGAATATGGTGTTGTGGTTCTTTGAATAACGGAAGCTTTGTTGTTTTTTTAGGATTCTTACTACTCTTGCGGTTTCAGATCGGGTGATAGCAGGGAACAGCACATTGACAGTTTCGGGATGTTGGAATGCACATCTTGGAATATCTTGTGTGTTGAGAGTATTCGAGAGGTGATTTTTCCAGAAGTACATTTAGATAAAATGCGAAAATATTGTTTTTT